CTCGCACACACCTGTACTGTTTGCTCGAGTCGTCGCCTCTCCGGGGGCTTCTAGAAGGAATGAGCGGCCGGTTAGTCACGTCTCGGCCCGCACGGCGGCCCGTCCCCCAGCACCGGCAGCGGGGCCTCGCGCCTGACTGGCCAGGCGCCCCACGGCCCTGCGGGGGGCCCTCGGCCTGGGAGGGGCGGGGGCGGTGGGGCAGCTTCCCCAGGAGGGCTGCTGGCTGGCACAGCCCGGGAGGGGACCCGCTTCCTCCCGCCTCGCGCACTCAAGTCCCGGCTGGCTGAGCGGATGCTGCGGGCGCCCAGAGGCCCAGCTGACCCCCAGGACCCCGCGGCGTGACCCAGGCGGGGCCTCCAGGCGCTGGCGGGACAGAGTCCCGCCGCCAGCGCTCCACGCGGCCTCAGCCTCACCCTCACGGGGGCCCTGCGGGGCACCCGGCGTCCATGAGGGTCGGGCCGCCCCTGCAGTCCCTGGGCCCCCATGCCTGAGACGTGAGGTCGGGGCGCCCAGCCCCAGGGGCTCCTGGCGCCTGCACTGCCCCCCACGGACGCTCAGGAAGTTCCAGTCCGAACAGCCAGTGGCAGCGGTGACCTGGGCCAGACGCGCTGGGCCCCAGCCTGCGGCCGGACAGCCTGCACCTGCCCTCTCCGGCCAGGCGGGGCCTGGGTCTCGGCCCCTCACACCAGACACCCCCAGCTGGGCCTGGCCGGACTGGAGCCCCGACGCTCCGGAGCCCCTGGCTTCGCTTCTACGGTGAAGTTCAAAGGCACAACGAGGGGACCTCCCGCGGGGACCCCTCGCCGGCGCCTCCTGCTCCGGCCCGCCCGGCCCAGCTGGCAGCTCCTGCTCGTCACCTGTTGTGTCGCGCTGTCTCGGTGGCTCTGAAATTTAGAGACACAAACATATTCACCAGCGTGCACGTCACAGGTCGGTTCCACAGGGTTGTACTTTGGGAAAACACAGGCCCTTAGATCCGGGTCAGTGGTGGCCTGAAAAGCGTCTCCCAGCCGCGGGGCTCGGGGCGCGTCCTGGCCGCCAGCCCTACGCACCCACGATGGGCTGGGGGGATCCCGCTCTCCGCACCTGCTGCAGGGGGAGCACACTCGGGCGCCCACGCAAGAAGCCCCCGTTCGCCCGAACTGTCCTGCCCCTGCGCTTGCTGCCCCCGTCTATACAGTCGTACTTCAGCGCGCAGGCGTGTCATGCCAGGGCGGTGGTGTCGTGGCGCAAGTTGGTAGACACGCTTGGGGGTGCACATGGCTGCTCCCCCGCTCTCACAGGGAGTCGCAAAGCAGACAGGCTCCGCCCTCACACAGTAGCGACAACTGAGTCACTCGCAGGCACGAGGTTCGGCCAAGTGGCAACGATCGATCGGCTGCGTCCCCCCTTGACACTCGGCTCACCTGAGCTGTTCCCTCCCCACTCACCTGACATAACAGGGGCCTTGGGGCCGGCTGTGCGCTGGGCCGCGACTGAGGTTTCTCCGTTTGGCTCTCCGGGTGTCACTGCTTAAACGCGCAATTGTTAGCTCGACATGATTAACTAGAGCAAAACGAAAACACTCACTGCCCCCGGTTCAGCTAGGCTGAGGGGCCGGCACCGTCTGCGGACCTCTCCAACACTCGCGCCCAACAGCGGGGCTCTGCCAGCTGCAGCCTCCCCAGTAACTGTGCCGCACCACACGCAGCCGTGTGACGTGACTGCGCACCCCTGTGCCGCTCTGGGCAGGAGGGACAGAGCCGGCATGGAGGGGACATTCAGGCACACACCGGGGCCAGCTGCAAGCGGTCATCCCGACACAGGGTGCCAGGGAGGGGAACCAAAGGAACCAAAACCGAAAACCTCCAGTAAGAAACGCATTTCACGGTCGCTTGCTCCCAAGATCCTGGTGCAAATGAATTTGATATTGGAAGAAGGACGGAACCCACGTAAAAGACCT